CGAGGGGGCTGGGTGATGGTCTAATAACGGCGTTCGTAAAGTTCTGTGTCTCGTGGAAGGTACACCACATGAGTATCACATCGTGGGAGTGAGTGTGTGTCTGTGTGTGTGTCAGTGTGTATGTCAGTGCTCTCAGGAGTATTTTGCTGACAAACGTGATTTTGCCTGTGTTGCTGTGTGACTGTGTTGCTGTGTGACTGCTGCGGCAACTTGGCCTCACCGCCACCGTCACCGCCTGAGTCGCAGTCCTCAGTCAACCACAGTCAACCTCAGTCAACAGAAGGCTGGCAAGAAGGGCGGTTGGGGCCCCCGATCCGGATTCGCACGGTGTCATCCCTTTTAGGATGGCTTGCCAAGCGTGAAGCCATTGCAAGAGCAGGACAACGGGCGCAGTGGTTGTGTCTCTGTAAAGCGCTCGTGTGCGCGTATATGTACATTTGTATGTTTGTATGTATGTGTGTGCGTGTGTGATGTGAGGGTGAGCTGTCTGTGGCTTGTAGGATGCCGTCCATGTGTGTGTGATGAAGGGGGGGAAGGGAGAGAGAGCGGCCCCCTACCTCTACCCCGCCTCTCTGCACCCGGCGCAGGCTCCGGCACCGGTGCCCTGATTCGCCCTGATTGCCGTGCTGCGACCATCCGAAGACGACGTCCCCTTGGAAGTGTGCATGCATGTGCGTGTGTATGTATGTATGTATGTATGTATGTATGTATGACGTTGATTACACTGTGGGCTGAAAAGCCGGGGGCCCAGGGCCGAAGCACAGCGCGGGGGGCGGGTGCATACGGCTGGTTAGTCTCATGCACTCCGCCCCCGGGTCAGGCCGCACGGGAAACGACGGCCGGCACGCAACAGCGCTTGTTTGGCGCTCCAACTAGACGGGATCTATGCCCGTTGGTCTCCTAACATAAACGAAGTCGCAACTGGGGGGCTCTTCCTGCCGACCGAACGAACCGAGCATCTCAGAGAGCTCGCTACCAGGACTTGGGCGACCGGGAGCCCGACGAGTCTTCCCGGGCTGGGGAGGTCACCAAGCTCAAAAATCCTCACGCAAAAAAGAGCGCAAAGAGCTCACACCACAAGACGCCAAACAGCCTCCTGAGACTACTACCCTCCTCCGCCTCTCCCTCCCTGGGCTAGTCCAGGGGAGATAGCCCCCGTCGAGGGGGTAACACCGCACAAGTCCGCGCCCTTCCACAGCACTGGGTCTAAATTGAAAAGTACTCAAACGGGAAGACCCTGCGGCAACGCAGGGCGATCAAGCCTCCGGAAA